CTTATCCGGAACGTATCTTTCACTAGGGGAAGATGCGTGACGGCTTCCCTCTGGTGCCGCTCCACCGCGTTGGCTTGCTTGTCGCCTCGGCTTCCCTCAGGTGCCGCTTCGTCTTCTCTGACGGCGTTCGTGGGCCCGGCAAGGTCTTCACACCGAGCCGGACTTTGCTGCTCTGCTTCTCTTTAGCTGGCCAAGGGTCGGCCGGAATACGCACGGTCTTACGGCCCTCGGCTTTGCTTACTAATTTTTCAGACGTCCGGAACCCTTTCCGGTCGGCCGTCTTTTTGCGCAGCACGACTTGGTCGGAAGGCCCTGTCACGTCAACGGCCACTACCGTCCGCGGTTCTTCCACCCTCCGTCGGCCTATCAGCCCTGCCGGTTGCTGTTGTTGCACCCCTTGTGCTTGGCACACCGTGCAGGCTCGTATCCCGCGACCTGCGTCGCGATATCCTTTCACTCGATTCTAGCTCGATGTAGTGTCTGGTACGTCACGTAAGACTCTTTTTCGGTGCACTATCTCGTAATCAACCGTGAGATCTTTAGTGCCCGATGCGACAACCTGCCCTTCGGGTCTTTCAGGTTGTGGAGCCCTCTCCAACTGTGGTGGTAGATGATTGCGGTGAAACGGTCTCTCACTCGATGTGCCCGCACCTTCCCGGTCACCCTCGCCACTGTCGATTCTTCTGTTCGGCCACCATGGAATTCTTCTCAGTGTCCGCTGCTGTCCGTCTAGCGCAGACAATCACGTGCCCGCCATCGGTGGACGCCTGTTCAACACGGCTCCGGGTCCTCCCGCGCTCGCGTCCGTCTGTCATACGAACGGGCGGGTGAAATCTGGATACGCGAGCATCGGCGGAGTCCTCAGAACCTCTTCCATGGCTTCAAACGCCCGGGCCCGCTCCTCTTCTCCGCTCCCTTGTCGGCTCTGTTCAACCATGCCGTGAGCGGTGCCGACCTCTCCGCGAATCCGTCTCTGAAGCGGCGGTATCAAGAGACCATCCCTAAGAACCTGCGCAGTTGCTTCCAATTTCTTGGCGCTGGGTATCCCGGAATAGACGCCATTTTCTTCGGATTCGTTTCCTGGCTCTCCCTATTCCCCAGAAATCCCAACTCGCTCCTGTGGACAACCAAACTCGCATTTCTTAGGGTTAATGGCCAAACCTGCCTCCTTAACTCTCTTCAGAATTTCTTCCAGGGGCGTCCTCACTATGGGACTATCCCCT